AGCAAATCGATTGCCGATACATTTTCTAGGTCCGTGACCGAATGGTAAGTAAGTGTACGGTAAAATTTTGTCTTTATTCTCCTCGTTGAACCTTTCCGGATCGAATTTATCCGGATTCGGAAAGTACGTCGGATCGTGATGTAAACTATAAATAGGAAACAACAATACATGGTTGGGTTCGACGATCGCATTCTTGCAGCCTGGTCGCGACGGAGGTAGTTCATATCTCTTAGCGCAAAGTCTATCGGTGATGATCGACGGCGGATATTTTCTAAGAGTCTCAGAGATCACCATATCCATGTAAGATATCTTCGATATCGACTCGTAAGAAATCTCACCGTTTCCTTCGGCAAGATGCTGTTGTACTTCCTCGCGCAAACGATCCTGTACATCTTGGTTAACTGCCAGCTCGTGAGCAGCGAAACACATCAACGTCGCAGATGTTTCGAAACCAGCGAAGAAAAAGATGAAGGCTTGCGAAACGATATCATCCACGGTCATTTTATGTATATCTTCTTTGTCCCGAGCCTGCATTAATAAATGAATCATGTCCGGTCTGACGATACCTCGCTCCTCCCGCGCTCTAATGGTTTCCCCTACGATTTTCTTGAAAAACTCGGTCGTAGACGGCGGGAAAAGAGACAGACCTAATAATTTAGCGAGCCGTGGACACGCTTGAAAAAGTATCATCTTAGCCATCCCTAGCGGTCCAGCAGAAAATCCTTTGATAATCTCTATTCCTCTTATATAGAACTCATTGTCTTGATCTTTCATAGAATTCACACTTATGCCAAAGGCTGTCGTAGCAATTACGTCGGTGGCGTATCGTCTAAAGACTCCCTTCGTTTCGATCGAATGGCAGACTTCCGGATGATCGACCAAATAATTAACAAAATTGTGAGAACATTCCGACATCAGGTTAAACATGAACTTCATCTTGCTGGCGGTAAAAGAGGGGCTTAATGTATTCCGCATTTCTCTCCAACGATCTCCGCGCAAGGAGGTGATGTTCTTGCTAAATAACGGTTCTACGCTGGCGTCAACGAAACTGCGATGATCCGGGAAGGATTCAAAATCCTTTACCATGATGTCTTTGATCAGCTCAGGATCGCGCACTAACACGCTAGGCATGCCAAAATCCATTAGTCCAACATATTTTGCATCCGGAAAATAATTGTATAAATATTGGAAGTAATTGACAACACTGATGCGACCCAGAAGCAATTTCCAATCCGTTATAGAATTTGATAGATTAATTGGCAGGTAAGGTACACCTTTATTCTTCCAATAAAGATATGTATGATGCAGCACAGCGACAATTTTCAGGACGCCGATGACGACCAGAGTAATCAATAATAGCGCAAAAGGCGACGAAAGCCACGATAAATCCATCATGACATGACAGTATTACAGACAAACTGATTGTGAGACAAACAAGATACTTCGTCGAGCGCAGCGCAGTGTTGAGTGATTGCGGGAATTCTGACACGTCATAGATAACGTTCCAGGCGATTAGTAGCGTATAATTCTCACCGAAATATAGGTATCAAACCTATGCAGTCGACTTTATTACATGAATACCAACATTCGTTGCAACCGTTATAATTTTTTTCTGCGCAAATGTAGCCCAGAAAGCGCCTTATCCAGAACAATCTACATACAAGCATATAAAATAATCACGTGTTGATTATTTCACGCTACAAATACGTATGCGCCAGAAATCCTGCAATCTCCCAATACTGGCGCGGTGTTATAAATATACGTGTTGTGCAGTTCTTATCGTGAATGAAACTATGAAACGAAAATGGGAGGGAGAAACGCCTTTAAATATTATTGCGATTAGAGATATTATTGCGATTGTCAAGTAAGAGACTGGTCATTGATTGATTGTATGCTGAATGATATTGACAAACCATGGCAGAACCAATCCAAAATATAAAAACATGATTTTTTAGGTAAATTGTAAGAGAAAATTTTTTCGGTGTATTTAATAAACAGATATGTTTTCTCTCAGCTTCAACGCTAGACAACGAGCTATGTGTTAACAAGAAACATTTAAATGTAAATAAACATTTAAAAATCTTAGGTATAATGCGGAGCGTTACTTTATTCAAAAAGCTCTTTCGCATATGTGTCCGATCCTCCAGGTAAAGAATTTATAGATTAAGCGCTCGACCATTTTGGACGAAGTGTGTGTCCCAACACTTTGCTCATATCAACATCCGCGATGATAACTATTCTTCTTGTGGTTTTATAAATATTTCTATATAAATTATTGGATGGAGAAATCTTGTAATGAATTAAAAAACTCTTCCCATTACAATTCGGTAGAGAAGTATTGGCATCCGATAGAATATTAAATATAATAAATGTAGATGGATTTGACTGAGAAAATTGTCATGTGAGCCAAGAGACCAAGCTAGCGAAGAAGATTAGAAAACAATTTGCATCATTTGACATATATATTTGAAAATATCCAAATTATTTAGGTCTTATAAACAAACATACATACAATAGTATATATACTTATGTGGAATATGTGATTATAATTAAAATTTATAATTTACTTTTTATTTTAATTTTTATATACGTTTAATGTCTAAAAAATGTACATAGTTCAAATATACATAGAATTATGGCATCATGGCACAGAATTATGGCAGAAAAATAAATTTTATATTAATATTACAAACTATCCTACTTTACTAATGTGCCTGGTACTTTAATTCATAATTATTTAGCGTTATCGACGGATCTGATCTATATTGTATCATTGAACTGCAATGTCAAGCAAATAATCGTAACATTCCGTCCGTAAAAAAAAAAACATTTAAGACAAAGATTATTAAATAAATTTTATTGTGACATGTGATAGCAAAATAGCTTACGTAGTTTTTGCCTGTTGCCAAGAATTGCCCACACATATATCCTGTATCTGCGTACCAATACTGCGGAAGTCTCAGGATAATTAACGATAGTTTTAATTATCTAAATCGTCATTTAAATTCTTTTCAAAAGGAGTGCTTTCTATGATCGATATTATCAGCTCCTTGTCGTAATACACTCTTCGTCGTCTACCCTCTTTTTGATTCTATATTTCTACATAAGTCGAACGTTTTTATGTCGTTTTCAATTTGAAATTAACTGTCAATGGACTTAAAGATACGATTTATATGTATAATTTTTATCATCTCGATATAAGTGAGCTTGACTTCTATCTGACATAGGTTCACAATCATATCTAATTAATAATTTTTGATCGAAATGTGTCACGTTTGCTATAAAAAAAAGCTTTGTCAATTTATTATAATTTGATTATTTATATTTTATACAGCTATAACAAAATAGTCACTTTTGATTTATTAGAAATTCAAAATACTTACTTATAAGAAAATATTATTGAAAAATATTATGAATACACATATGCAATATTATAGCGTGCTGCATCGACTCTATTAATGATATTGTTTTCTTATACTTATTTCAAAAACTACATCTCAAATGCTCAAATTTACAATAAATTACAACAAACATATTTGAACTAATAATAAATTTCGAAAGAAAAATGTGTGCGAAAGACATTTGCGCGATAGAGATATTCGTTTTTACTTGAAGAATTAACAATATTGATTTGACTCTATATTATTCCTATTATACTATTTAGCGACAAGTGGAAGTTATATAAATGATTAAAAATGATCACAATCAAGTAGATTTGACAGTCTACGCAAGTCATAATGTTTATCGTAATATTTCATTTTCTTATTCTTTACTAGCAAAGACTTAGTTATTTGCTTTGTGCATAATGACGTAATACATCGCAAAAAAGGATATTGTACAATTATCTTCCAAAGTGCATACGCGTTGAACATCTTGAAAGTTGAAAATGCGGCAATGTTTTTTCAAACACAGCTACATATCGTACGACAATGTATTGCGTACAAGAATCTCACGTTTCTCTCTTCTCTAAGCCAATCCAGAATCCGCCAACAGGTTGCAACGCAAACTCGTGGTTAGCGTATACGATTGGTTCGACAGTCTTTTCCGTAGTCTTCAGAGTAAACTTTTGTAAAAGATGAGCTATCAGAATCTTAGCCTCCATGAGAACAAATCGATTGCCAATACATTGTCTAGGTCCGTGACCGAATGGTAGATAAGTGTACGGTAAAATTTTGTCTTTGTTCTCCTTGTTAAACCTTTCGGGATCGAACTTATCAGGGTTCGGAAAGTACTTCGAATCACGATGAAAACCATAAATGAAAAACGTCAATACATTGTTGGGTTCGACGATCACATTCTTGCAGCCTGGTCGCGACGGAGGTAGTTCATATTTCTTAACGCAAACTCTATCGGTCATGATCGCCGGCGGATACTTTCTAAGAGTCTCGGAAATCACCATATCCATGTAAGACATCTTCGACAGCGACTCGTAAGAAATCTCACCGTTTCCTTCGGCAAGATGCTGTTCTACTTCCTCGCGCAAACGATCTTGTATATCTTGGTTAACTGCCAGCTCGTGAGCAACGAAACACATCAGCGTCGCAGATGTTTCGAAACCAGCGAAGAAAAAAATAAAGGCTTGCGAAACGATGTCATCCAATGTCATTTTATGTACAGTGGGACCTTCTTTGTCCCGAGCCTGCATTAATAAATGAATCATGTCCGGTCTGACGATACCTTGCTCTTCCCGCGCTCTAATGGTTTCCCCCACGATTTTCTTGAAAAACTTGCTGGTAGCCGGCGGGAAAAAAGACAGACCTATTAATTTAGAGAGCCGTGGACACATTTCAAGAAGGACCATCTTAGCCATCCCTAGCGGTCCAGCAGAAAATCCTTTGGTAGCCTCTATTCCTCTTATATAGAACTCATTGTCTTGATCTTTCATAGAATTCACACTTATGCCAAAGGCTGTCGTAGCAATTACGTCGGTGGCGTATCGTCTAAAGACCTCCTTCATTTCGATTGCATGGCAGATTTCCGGATGATCGACCAAGTAATTAACGAAATTGTGAGAACATTCCGATATCAGGTCAAACATGATCTTCATCTTGCTGGCGGTGAAAGAGGGGCTTAATGTATTCCTCATTTCTCTCCAACGATCTCCGCGCAAGGAAAAGATGTTCTTGCCAAATAGCGGTTCCACGCTGTCGTCGACGAAACTGCGATGATCCGGGAAGGATTCAAAATCCTTCACCATGGCGTCTTTGACCAGCTCAGGATCGCACACTAGCACGTTAGGCGTACCAAATTCCATTAGTCCAACATATTTTGCATCCGGAAAGTAATTATATGCATATTGATAATAATCGATGATACTGATACGACCCAGAATCATTTTCCAACCCGTTATAAAAGATGATAGCGAATCTGGCAGGTAAGGTATACCCTTATTCTTCCAGTAAAAATATGAATGATGCAGCACAGCGACAATTTTCAGAACGCCGATGACGATAAGAGTAATCAATAATAGCGCAAAGGGCGACGAAAGCCACGACGAATCCATCATGACACGACAGTATAACAGACAAACTGACTATGAGACAAACAAGATACTTCGTCGAGCGCGGCGCAGTGTTAAGTGTGATTGCGTGAATTCTGACACGTAGTAGCGCGAGCTGTTCCACAGACGATTAGTAGCGTATATTTCTCACTGAAATATAGGTATCGTCAGACCAATCATAATAAGAGAATAATATATGTTAAAGAATAATATGTGTTAAAGAAAATAACCTCTGGAGGTTTTTAGAAATTAAATAATATAGTTTATGCGTTTGCAGTCGACTCTATTACATGAATATAACATTCGTTGCAACCGTTATAACTTCTTTCCACGCCCTGGAATGTAGCCCTGGAAGCGCCTTATGCGAAACAATCTACATACGAGCATGTAAAATAATCACGTGTTAGTGACCACTACACGCTACTACGCATGTGCCAGAAATCCCGTAATCTCTTGCGCAATCGTCCAATACTGCAGCGGCGTCGTAAGTATAATGGGTGCGTTCAGCCGATACTCCGCTAGCCTAGCAATCGTGAGCAGTCGCTCGTTTTCGCTCGTTTCCTCTCTTTTTAATCCATTGGGTCAAAAGAGAGGAAACGAGCGAAAACGAGCAACTGCTCACGATTGCTAGGCTAGCGGAGTATCGGCTGAACGCACCCAATGTGTTGCGCAGATCTTATCGTGAATGAAACGAAGATGGGAGGGAGGAGCGCCTTTCGATATTATTGTGATTAGAGACCTTCAAGTAAAAAACTGACCTTTGATCTACTGTGTGCTGATTGATATTGACAAACCAGGGCAGAACAAATCCGAAATATAAAAACATGATTTTTTGGATAAATTGTAAGAGAAAATCCTTTCTGTGTAATTAAGAAAAAGATGTGTTTCCTCTCAGCTTCAACGCTAAACAACGAGCTACATGTTAACAATAAACATTTAAGAATGTTAGACACAATGCGGAGCATTACTTTATTCAAAGCACTTTCGCATATGTGTCCGATCTTCCAGGAGAAGAATTTATATAGATTAAGTGCTCGACCACTTTGTACGATGTGTGTGTCTTAAAACTTTGCTCATATCAACACCCGCGGTGATAACTATTCTTTTTGTGCTTTTATAAATATCTTTATGTGAATAATTGGATGGAAAAATCTTGTAATAAGAATTAAGAAAGACTCTTCCCATTACAATTCGGTAGAGAAGTATTAGCATCCGACAGAATATTAAATATAATAAATGTAGATGGATTCGACTGAAAAAATTGTCATGTGAGCCAAGAGACCAAGCTAGCGAAGAAGATTAGAAAACAATTTGCATCATTTGACATATATATTTGAAAATATCCATATTATTTATGTCTTATAAACGTTTATACATATACAATAGTATATAGACCTATGTGGAATATAGACCTATGTGGAATATGTGATTATAATTAAAATTGTATATATATAATTTACTTTTTATTTTAATTTTTATATACGTTTAATGTCTAAAAAAAAATGTACACAGTTCAGAAATACATAGAATTATGGCATCATGGCACAGAATTATTGTAGAAAAATAAATTTTATATTAATATTACAGACTACCCTAATTTACTATGTGCCTGCAGGTACTTTAATTCATAATCATTTAGAGTTGTCGACGGATCTAATCCATATTGTATCATTTGAACTGCAATGTCAAGCAAATAATCATAACATTCCGTCCTGTAAAAAAAACATTTAAGATAAAGATCGTTAAATAAATTTTATTGTGACATGTGATAGCAGAGTAGCTTACATAGTTTTTGCTTGTTGCCAAGAATTGCCCCACACATAAATCCTATATCTGCGTACCAATACTGCGCAAGTCTCAGGGTAATTAACGATAGTTTTAATTATCTAAATCGTCGTTTAAATTTTTCTTAAAAGAAAAGTTTTCTATGATCGATATTATCAGCTCCTCGTCATAATACACTCTTCGTCGTCTACCCTCTCTTTGATTCTGTATTCCTACATAAGTCGAACATTTTTATGTCGTTATCAATTTGAAAGTAACTGTCAATGGACTTAAAGATACGATTTAAATGTATAATTTTTATCATTTCGAAATAAGTGAGCCTGACTTCTATCTCACTTAGGTTTACAATCATATCTAATTAACAATCTTGGATCGAAATGTGTCACGTTTGCTATAAAAAAATGCTTTGTCAATTTATTATAATTTGATTATTTATATTTTATGCAGCTATAACAAAATAGTCACTTTTGATTTACCAGAAATTCAAAAATCTTACTTATAAGAAAATATTATTGAAAAATATTATGAATGCACATATGCAATATTATAACGTGCTACATCGACTCTATTAATGATATTGTTTTCTTATACATATTTCAAAAACTACATCTCAAATGCTCAAATTTACAATAAATTACAACAAACATATTTGAACTAATAATACATTTCGAAAGAAAAAAATTTGTGCGAAAGACATTTGCGCGATAGAGATATTTGTTTTTACTTGAAGAATTAACGATATTGATTTGACTCTATTAGTCTTACTATACTATTTAGCGACAAGTGGAAGTTATATAAATGATTGAAAATGATCACAATCAAGTAGATTTGACAGTCTACGCAAGTCATAATGTTTATCGTAATATTTTATTTTCTTATCCTTTACTAGCAAAGACTTAGTTATTCGCTTTGTGCATAATAACGTAATACATCGCAAAAAAAAAAAAAAGATATTGTATACGCGTTGAACATCTTGAAAGTTGAAAATGCGGCAGTGTTTTTCCAAACACAACTACATATCGTACGATAATGTATTGCGTACAAGATTCTCACGTTTCTCTCTTCTCTAAGCCAATCCAGAATCCGCCAACAGGTTGCAACGCAAACTCCTTTTTAGTGTATACAATTGGTTCGACAGTCTTTTCCGTAGTCTTCACAGTAAACTTTTGTAAAAGATGAGCTATCAGAATCTTAGCCTCCATGAGAACAAATCGATTGCCAATACATTTTCTAGGTCCGTGACCAAATGGTAGATAAGTGTACGGTAAAATTTTGTCTTTGTTCTCCTCGCTGAACCTTTCGGGATCGAACTTATCCGGGTTCGGAAAGTACGCCGGATCGCGATGTAAACCGTGAATGAAAATCATCAATACATTGTTGGGTTCAACGATCGCATTCCTGCAGCCTGATCGCGACGGAGGTAATTCATATCTCTTAGCACAAAGTCTATCGGTGAGAATCATCGGTGGGTACTTTCTGAGAGTCTCGGAGATCACCATATCCATGTAAGACATCTTCGACAGCGACTCGTAAGAAATCTCCCCGTTTCCTTCGGCAAGATGCTGTTGTACCTCTTCGCGCAAACGATCTTGTATATCTCGGTTAACTGCCAGCTCGTGAGCAACGAAACACATCAGCGCCGCAGATGTTTCGAAACCAGCGAAGAAAAAGATAAAGGCTTGCGAAACGATGTCATCTAATGTCATCTTATATACACCGGCACCTTCTTTGTCCCGAGCCTGCATTAATAAATGAATCATGTCCGGTCTAACGATACCTTGCTCTTCTCGCGCTCTAATGGTTTCCCCCACGATCTTCTTGAAAAACTCGCTGGTAGCCGGAAAAAGAGACAGGCCTATTAATTTAGCGAACCGTGGACACACTTGGAAAAGGATCATCTTAGCCATCGCTAGCGGTCCGGGAGAAAATCCCTTGGTAATCTCTATTCCTCTTGTATAGAACTCATTGTCTGGATCTTTCATAGAATTCACACTTATGCCAAAGGCTGTCGTAGCAATTACGTCGGTGGCGTATCGTCTAAAGACCCCCTTCGTTTCGATCGCATGGCAGACTTCCGGATGATCGACCAAATAATTAACGAAATTGTGAGAACATTCCGACATCAGGTCAAACATGATCTTCATCTTGCTGGCTGTAAAAGAGGGGCTTAATGTATTCCTCATTTCTCTCCAACGATCTCCGCGCAAGGCGAAGATGTTCTTGCCAAATAGCGGTTCCGCACTGACGTCGACGAAACTGCGATGATCCGGGAAGGATTCAAAATCCTTTACCATGATATCTTTGATCAGATCAGGATCGCGCAGTAGCACGGCAGGCCTGCTAAATTCCATTAGTCCAACATATTTTGCGTCCGGAAAGTAATTGTATAGATATTGAAAATGATCGACAAAACTGACATGACCCAGAAACAATTTCCAAACCGTTATGAAAGATGAATCTGGCAGGTAAGGTACATCCTTATTTTTCCAGTAAAAATATGAATGATGCACTACAGCGACAATTTTCAGGACGCCGATGACGACCAGAGTTATTAATAATAGCGCAAAGGGCGACGAAAGCCACGATAAATCCATCATGACACGACAGTATAAAAGACAAACTGACTGTGAGACAAACAAGATACTTCGTCGAGCGCGGCGCAGTGTTAATTGATTGCGTAACGCAAGCGGTTCCAGACGATTAGTAGCGTATATTTCTTACTGAAATATAGGTATCGTCAGACCCATTATAAGAAGAGAATAATATATGTTAAAGAAGATAGCCTCTGGAGGTTTTTAGAAATTAAATAATATAGTTTATGCGTTTGCAGTCGACTCTATTACATGCATGAATATAACATTCGTTGCAACCGTTATAACTTCTTTCCACGCAAATGTAGCTTAGGAAGCGCCTTATGCGAAACAATCTACATACGAGCATGTAAAATAATCACGTGTTGACTACTGCACGCTACTACGCATGTGCCAGAAATCCCGCAATCTTACAATACTGGCGCGGCGTTATAAATACATGTTGCGCAGATCTTATCGTGAATGAAACGAGGGTGAAACGCCTTTCGATATTATTGTGATTAGAGACCTTCAAGTAAGAGACTGGTCATTGATCTACTGTGTGCTGATTGATATTGGCAAACCATGGTAGATGCAGCAATCCAAAATATAAAAACATGATTTTTAGGGTAAATTCTAAGAGAAAATTTTTTCTGCGTATCTATAAAAGAAAAGATGTATGTTTTCTCTCAGATACGTTTCTTTCAACGCTAGAAACGAGCCACATGTTAGCAATGAACATTTAAATGTTGAATAAACATTTAAAAATGTAAAGCATAATGCGGAGCATTACTTAATTATTTAAAACTCTTTTGCATGTGTATCAGATCCTCCAGATGATGAATTCATAGATTGAGCGCTCTACCATTTCGGACGAAGTGTGTGTCTTAAGGTACTCCTAACACTTTGCTCATACCAACACCCGCAGTAATAACTATTCCTCTTGTGCTTTTTTATAAATATATTTTTATGTAAATTATCGGATGGAGAAAGTTTGTAATATAGAATTAAGAAACATTCTTCTTATTACAATTCGGTAGAGAAGTATTAGCGTCCAACATAATATTAAATATAATAAATATAGGTGAATTCGACTGAAAAGATTGTCATATGAACCAAGAGACCAAGTTAGCAAAGAAGATTAGAAAATAATTTGCATTATTTGACATGTATATTTGAAAATATCGATATCATTCATGCCTTATAAACGTTACATGCATACAATAGTATATATATATATATATATATATATATATATATATATATATGAAATATTATAATTAAAATTGTATAATTTACTTTTGATTTTAATTTTTATATACGTTTAATGTCTAAAAAATGTACATAGTTCAAATATACATAGAATTATGGTGTCATGGCACAGAATTATGGCAGAAAAATAAAATGTATATTAATATTACAAATTATCCTAATTTACTATGTGCCTGGGTACCTAAAAATCCGTAATCATTTGGAGTTGTCAACGGATATAATCCACATTGTTTCATTTGAACTGCGATGCCGAGCAAATAATCGTAACATTTCGTCCTATAAAAAGAAAAAGACATTTAAGACAAGGATCGTTAAATAAATTTTATTGTGACATGAGATAGTAAAGACATAATTTTTGCCTGCTGCCAAGAATTACCTCACACATAAATCCCATGTCTGCATACCAATACTGCGCAAGTCTCAGTAGGGTAATCAACGATAATTTTAATTATCTAAATCGTCCTTCAAATTCTTCTCAAAAGGAGTGCTTTCTGTGTTTGATATTACCAGCTCCTCGTCGTAACAATACACTTTCTACTCTCTGTTTGATTCTACGTAAATCAAACAGTTTTATGTCATTATATCAATTTGAAATTAACTGTCAATGGACTTAAAAATACGATTTAAATGTATAACTTTTATCACCTAGAAATGAGTGATCCTGACTTCTTTCCCAGGCCACAGTGTTGTCATCACAGCAATAAATTTCGAATGGGTGTAAATTATACAGCACCCGCGTTTCTTCTTAAATAGGCGCACATAAATAGCGAAGTACATTGCAACTTCGTCAGTTTTTTTTTGGAGACAATTCGAAATCTGTTTCATTGATATCTTGTACGAACATATCGTTGGGCGTTATACTCTCCTTTTGTACATCAGAAGGAGCTATGCAGATCTTATCTGTGTAGGACAGAAATTTTAGTGAATGTCTATACTTTAATAATAGTTTTGCACATATGACAATCAAGCAATCAAGCTTTTAATACAAGTGTATTACTGTAGAATATTAACTCATGTATTTTATGGAGATACCGCCACCAGTACCAGTCACCCATCCGAGATGATAGAACTACCGACACAGTTCTGGAATATGATTTCTTGGGTGTTCCTGTATAAAAATGATAGATATTATAAAACAAATTCTATACATGCATAAATTTTAAAACTAAAACTTTGTAAAACCTGATTTCAACGTCCATTAATATATGCACGCATATGTATAAATAGTTTGATAACTTATAATTTAACATTTACATATGCGCCAAAAAATTATATATACGTGACTTTATAAATATATAAATAAACAAAATTTATGTTGCATTGGTATTAACAATTATAGGATTTGAAACGTGAAGTATCAACTAAACGATTATCCAAATTTAATTTTATAAATATTAATATACATGTTCAAATAATATTATTGATATATTAATGTATTAGATATATATTAATATCATTACATATTAAATTAGAGTTTTTATAAATAATTAATGTAAGAATTGATTGGAAGTTAGCGTTTTATATGTAAGTTTGCTTTTATTTTTTAAATATTTATTTTAATTATTTATTTATTTAGAAGAAAAAAAGGAAAGTTGCGGAGCAATTAAAATTGGAACTAACCGGCAAAAAGAAGTAAAATTCACTTACCAAATCAAGTCCAAAGAACACGAGATTGAAACTGATGAAGCCTTAGGTAAAATATCGGAAACTGAGTTTTCGCAATGCTTTTTTTTTCAAAGATTTTTTATTTTCTCTTGCTTTGGTGCTGGAGGACCAATGTCTTCTCTCTGCTTTACTTTACTCTCGCTCATCCTAACTAACGCTGTTTCTCGGTAGGAATAGATAACCTGTGAAAAACATCACCCTTATTTTAAGCTCCAGCATTAGTAGCAGGGTCCTGGAGAGGTTCTGGAATTTTTTAGTGGGATGTACATGTGCGCTTGCCCCATCTTTTCCCCAAAACTTTGAAAAAACTCAGCCTGCCAGACTTCAGCTGCTCTTTTAGTTTTTCCAAAGTTTTGTTTTTCAAACAATATCTAGTAATTAAACATTTTTGTGAGAGATTTATAATAGAAGTTGTTATCTCTGTTTCAATTCTGTTTTTCAGAAGGGAAAAAGACTTTAGCTTTCTTGTGAAGAAAAATTTACGCCCCAATAAAATATTTTTATAAAATGTATAATTATATTTATTCTTCTGTATATATATTACAAAAGATATATACATATATATAGATATACATGTAACAGTCACCATTAATAAAAATAGACTAGTGGAAATATTATAAATATGAATAACAATCAGAGAATGAAATGGAGCAAAACTTGGCCACAAACTATCTGACATAAAACACTCAAAACTTGCAACGAGAGGATAAATTGCATTTATTTATGAAGGTGGATTTCAAGATCCAAAACATTGTTGCAATGAGTAGCTTTAATTTATCTTATTTTCATTATCTTATTATTCTCGCATGATATCATTCTCGATAACAATATAACAAAACAACATTATATTTAATCTTATCAATACTCTTATCAACATTAAAAAGATATTTCTCAGAAATATCGCAATTAATAACAAATTCTTATTTGTAAACGTTTGTGTATAGGTAATTGATTTAATTTAATGATTATCTGCGCATTTTGCATTACCTATAAATGTAATGGATTGTTTTCCTTATTTTTTTTATATATACTATCTATTCTCAGACAATGAATCATGTCTGATTCACAATCATATCTGATTAACAATCTTTGATCCAAATGTGTCATACGAACGCTGTAAAAAATGTTAAATGCTTTGTCAGTTTATTATAATTTGATTGTTTATATTTTATATTGCTATAATAAAATAGTGACATTTGGTTTTATTAAAAATTTAAAAATTTTATTTATAAAAAAATATTAAAAAACATTATAAATGCACATACAGAATGGTATATTATTACATCATGGTACATCGACTCTATTAATGATATTGTTTCGTCATACTTATTTAAAAAATTATAACAGCGAACGCTTAAATTTATAATAAGTTACAACAGACATAATTTGAACTAATAAAAAATTTCGAAAGAAAAATGTGCGAAACATCTTTGCACGATAGAGATAATCGTTCTTACATGAAGAATTAACGAATTGATCCTATTTATATTTAGCGACAAGTGGGGAAGTTATATAAATCATTAAAAACAATCGGCATAATCAAATAAACGTGGAAGTCTACGCAAGTCATGATGTTTATCGTAATATTTAATTTTTTTATTTCTCACCAGGAAAAACTTGGTTATTTGCTTCGAACATAATGACGCAATACATCGGAAATTTTATTGTTTGCGATATATTACGTCATTCTTCACACTTCAATCTTAACACTTCAATCTTTACACTCCAATCTTCACACGTCAATCATCTTCTAAAGTACATACACGCGTTGAATATCTTAAAAATTGAAAATGCGGCGATGTTTTTCCAAACACAACTACATCATACGATAATGTATTGAGTGCAAGACTTTCACGTTTCTCTTTTCTCCAATCTAATCCAGAATCCACCAACAGGTTCCAACGCAAACAACTTTTTAGTGTATACGATTGGTTCGACAGTCTTTTCCGTAGTCTTCAGAGTGAACTTTTGTAAAAGATGAGCTATCAGAATCTTAGTCTCCATGAGAGCAAATCGATTGCCGATACATTGTCTAGGTCCGTGACCGAATGGTAGATAAGTGTACGGCAAAATTTTGTCTTTGTTCTCCTTGCTAAACCTTTCGGGATCGAACTTATCAGGGTTCGGAAAGTACTTCGGATCGTGATGTAAACCGTGAATAGGAAACATCAATAAATTGTTGGGTTCGATGACGACATTTTTGCAGCCTGGTCGCGACGGAGCTAATTCATATCTCTTGACCGAAAGTCGATCGGTAATAATCGCCGGTGGATACTTTCGGAGAGTCTCGGAGATCACCATATCCATATAAGACATCTTCGACAGCGACTCGTAAGAAATCTCACCTTTTCCTTCGGCAAGATGCTGTTGTACCTCTTCGCGTAAACGATCTTGCACATCTTGATTAACTGCCAGCTCGTGAGCAGCGAAACACATCAGTGTCGCAGATGTTTCGAAACCAGCGAAGAAAAAGATAAAGGCTTGCGAAACGATGTCATCCAATGTCATTTTATGTACACTGGGACCTTCTTTGTCCCGAGCCTGCATTAATAAATGAATCATGTCCGGTCTGACGATACCTTGCTCTTCCCGTGCTCGAATGGTTTCCCCTACGATCTTCTTGAAAAACTCGCTAGTAGCCGGCGGGAAAAGAGACAGACCTATTAATTTAGCGAACCGTGGACACGCGCGAAATAACATCATCTTAGCTATCGTTAGCAGTCCAGAAGAAAATTTGGTAGCTTCTATTCCTCTTGCATAGAACTCATTGTCTTGATCTTTCATAGAATTCACACTTATGCCAAAGGCTGTCGTAGCAATTACGTCGGTAGTGTATCGTCGAAAGGCCCCCTTCGTTTCGACCGCATGACAGACTTCCGGATGATCGACCAAATAATTAACGAAATTGTGAGAACATTCTGAAATCAGGTCAAACATAAACTTCATCTTGCTGGCGGTGAAAGAGGGGCTTAATGTATTCCTCATTTCTCTCCAACGATCTCCGCGCAAGGCGAAGATGTTCTTGCCAAATAGCGGTTCCGCGCTGACGTCGACGAAACTGCGATGATCCGGGAAGGATTCAAAATCCTTTACCATGATGTCTTTGATCAACTCAGGATCGCGCACTAGCACGCCAGGCGTGCCGAAATCCATTATTCCAACATATTTTGCGTCCGGAAAGTAATTGTATACATATTGAAAATGATCGACAAAACTGATGCGACTCAGAATCAATTTCCAACCCGACATAAAAGATGATAGCGAATCTGGCATGTAAGGTACACCTTTATCCTTCCAGTAAAAATATGTACGATGCACCGCAGCGACAATTTTCAGGACGCCAATGACGACCAGAGTAATCAATAATAGCGCAAAGGGCGACGAAAGCCACGATAAATCCATCGTGACACGACAGTATAACAGACAAACTGATTGTGAGACAAACGAGATAGTTCGTCGGGCGCGGCGCAGTGTTGAGAGATTACGGGATTTCTGACGCATGCGTAGTAACGCGAATCGTTTCAGATAATTAGTAGCGTACAATTCTCACCGAAATACAGGTATCGAATCTTTTATAAGAAGAAAATAATATGTGTTAAAGAAAATAGTCTCTAGAGGTTCTTAGAAATTAAATAATATATAAATTTATGCATGCGTTTGCAGTCGACTTTATTACATATAAGTACCAACATTCGTGTTGCAACCGCGTTGTAACTTCTTTCCATGCAAGTGTAGCCCAGAAAACGTCTTATGCGAAACAATCTATATACGAGCATGTAAAGTAATCACGTGTTGACCACTGCGCGCTAATACGCTTGCGCCAGAAATCCCGCAATCTCTCTGGCGCGGCATTATCAATACGTTGCGTAGATTTTACCGTGAATCAAAGGAAAATGGGAGGGAGAAACACCTCTCGACATTATTGCGATGATACATATGTCGCATCATAATTGCACAAGATATTAGTCAGTCAGTTTAAATGCGCATGACATTTGCCGAATACATCCCGACATTTTGCTCGGAAAGAAAGAGAAACTAAATTGTGTGTGAGAAGGAAAGAAGCGGGAGGAACGACGTGCAATTATATAGATATGTCGCTTGCGCTATATATGTATTAGTCAAAAGTTCCGAATTGCCGCGTAAGTATAAGTATATATATAAAGCAAGAAACAGTACATTCGGTGACAATTATCAAATAATATATCGAAATGGACAAAAAGTTCTATACACGGAGAAATTTTTCGTTATATTTTACTGTCAAAATTTACTACTTTGAGAAAACAATATATAATTTTTGTTTATTCACGTTTCTCTCTTCTCCAAGCTAATCCAGAATCCGCCAACAGGTTGCAATGAAAACTCCTTTTTATTATATACAATTGGTTCGACAGTTTTTTTCGTAGTCTTTAGAGTGAACTTTTGTAAAAGATGAGCTATCAGAATCTTAGTCTCCATAAGAACAAATCGATT